CCTTGTCCTTCTACTGCTTCCAGTCTACAAACCTTTTGAGTACCCTTTTTGGCCCAGCCAGGTGAGGTCAATTCTTTGTGATTCCCCCTACAGCCCCGTACTATGACAATACCCTTCTCTTCCAACATTGGTCTCCCAAAAACTAGTAGGCAAAGTTTCCTTTCGCAGTCGTTCTGATTGTTCACGCCATGTCACAGTTACATCTGAGTCTCAAGCTCGTGCACTGTCTACCCTGATTGACCTCACTGGCAAACCCATTCCTGCCAAACCTCATTCCTTCCTTAATACTTGTACCGGAAGCGTTCTCCCCGACTGACTGTCCTATCTACGGCACGGACTGGTCAGACTGTGAAAACGACTTGCTCGCATGCCTCGTCGACTATGATGCAATAGCTGTCCAGTACTGCTCTATTTCTGCCAGAGGCCAACGTAGATCCTACACGACTATTGCCAAGATTAGCTTCCACAGACATGACCTCCTCCATGAGGTTTATATTGGTGGAGTGTCCTGCCCTGTACGACCATATCGACCCCTTCCCCGTCAATGTCAGAAATGTTGGCGTTTTGGCCACACAGCCCGCTGCCTTCTGTGTGCCGAATCTTGTCATGACTGTTCAAATTGTTCTTTTCAGTCACGCACTGTAGTAGCTCCCAAAATGTAATTTATAGGAGCTGCCCTGCCTACAAGCTCGAATTCGAGGTAGCAGTTCTCAGATTCAAACTAGGCCTCACTCTACGTGAGACTAGGCAAGAAGCACGCCGACGAGTTTTTTTTTCTTTTTTCTACCTATTCCAAAACTATACTTCGCTCCGCTCCTCTCCCGTCTCAAGAAATCTCAGCATCTCTTCCCTCTATCCCAAACTACCCTATCTCTACTCTCTCTTTCCCCCAGTCAAATTCCTCTACCACTTCCCCGATGCCTCCCCCTCCTTCTCACTCTACCTGTCGCACCAGACAATCTAAACGTTCCACCCTATCTTCTCCCACATCATCTCCTACAACCACCCCTCCCTCTGTTCCTCGGACATCTACCCCCTCTTCTCCTCCACATAATAAAACCTTTATTTCTCAGACCTCCCCACCCAACTCCGCTCCAGAAATTCGAAGTATTTGCCGATATACATCCTCCGCCTCATCAAGTTCTCCCCTACCTCTTTCTTCCACTCTCCCCATAAAACATCCCATCCTCTCCTTCTCCACGTGCATCATCATTCCCACTTTCTTCCCTGTTATCCTTATCACTCCCACCTGGATTCTCACGTGACTCCCTCATGTCATAACAATGTCCTTCTCCGGATCCCTCCCCTCCTGACATTCTTCCCGGTATTTCACCATCTTCCCCCTTTTCCTTATCTCACTCTCTGGATTCTTCTCCCACTTCTATAACTACCATTTCTACCCGAATTGCCCTTTGATTATTTCAGAATTTTCCTCTTACAGTGTTACTTTCCCTTCCTCAGACACGTATTCTCCATTTGATCTGATTTTCCTATACCTTTAACCCCTCCTATTACAAATCCCCACCGTATTTCATTTACTCCCCCTCCTATATCCTTTTCACTACTATCCTACAGCGTTCTACAAACTTTGGCATCTAACATCTCATCCTAACCCTTAACCCATTCCCGACGGGCATGTCACGTACGTCCATGCCATGCCCACTGTGAGTTTACTTGTTTAATTATTTTTAGACATAGATGGCTACACTTGTACTTAGTGACCAATGAGCCAATTACAAGTACTGCCTGTCTCGCCCTTTTACCCTTTTCTTTGATTTACGAAAATAATTTACGTTATCTTATTTTGCTGTTACTAATGTTTATAACATTGCAGTAATTATGATGTTTATAATAAAAATAACACCATCGATATTCATAGCATTAGTAAAAAAATACATTCTGAAGGGGGGGGGGGGCAGTTGATAAAGGGGGGCGCTTATAAACCTTCGGTAATTGATTGGTATTGTACCATCACTATTTTGCTGTAGGAAATCACTTCAGTTTACACCGGAGGTCATGCTCACTTTGAGTGGCTTGAAAATTGTTAATGGAAAGTTTTAGCCATGCTACTTTTTAGAACCTGCCACTGCCTCGACAGAGAAAGATTGTCATTCCATGTTTTTATAATGATTTGACAGTGAGAATGATAATTGCCGTTTCGTTTCTGGATGATTCGAGGACGATGGAGCCCATGAGGTTCCTCCGTCAGCATGTCAAGTGTCATTTCATAGAGAAGGGGCGCCTCCAGTTCCCCCCCCCCCTCCTAAATCCGCAACTGGAGACATTTCACAATAAAATATATATAAAATGAGCATAACATTTCCCCCCATTTTTTTTTTAATTCTCATTCCCTTTTATTCTCTTTAATTCTCTTTCTCTTTTCTATTCTCTTTTTTTTTATTCATTTTCCCTGGCGGCAATGGGTTAGCTCATTTCCACCCGTGTCGCCACAGTACTTTACCCTAGTGCTATACGACTTTTAGCGCATTTATCTCTTCTAACCATTAACCATTGTAACGAAATGTTCAAATTCCCGTAACATGTGAACATAAAACAGAAGACAGTAGACAAATTTAAAAGATAGAGACTGACAGTAAAGATAATCAATTCCTTATATACTGATTTATAACCATACCTAATTATGTATTGTAGATGAATATAACTACAACAAAGCAACCATGGACACTAAATAAGAACAGTACTAGAATAATAATAAGAAAATAATCACAAAACCCCCAAAAATGGCGACACATTCTTGCCAATCAGTTGATCCTCGCTACGCCTATCTCGATTAAGGAAATGAAGGTGATACTTAATAAATAAATCAAACAAATATACATAAAACGAGAGTACTGATGAAGAAAAACAGATGCTTTTCCACAATGCTAAAAAAATCTCCTTTCCCTTCCAGCCCCCAACCCCTTCCATAACAGATCTTTGTTAATACATTAAAAAAAAGTTATATTTATTACAATGATAAGGGTAATAAATATCATAGCACACAGATAGTATAGAAAATATATAAACAAAGAAGATAAAAGATACGTGAACAAAGAAGAAAGATACAGATGAACAAAGAAAAAAGATACATTTAGAAAAGATACAAATGAACAAAGAAAAAGATACATATAAAAATATACATATGAAAAAGAAAAAAAGAAATATGAACAAGGAAGAAAATACATATTAACAAAGAAGAAAAGAGATACCCATCAACGAAAAAGAGAAAATACAGATGAACAAAGAAGTAAGAGAAGATACAGATGAACAAAGAAGAAGAAAAAATATGCATATGAACAATAGAAGGAAAAAAATACATACGAACAATGGAGAAAAAAAGATACATATATATATATATATATAGAAAAAAAATACATACGAACAGAATAAAAAATACACATGAACAGAGAAGAAAAGATACACGTGAACAAAGCAGAAGATCGATACCAATGACCAAAGACGAGAACCCGAACCGCGACAAAATCTCGCTCCCCCCCCCTCCCCCTCCCCCCGCAGCGGACGGCGCCGATCAGCTGACGTTGGCGGCGGCGGCGGCGGCGGCGTGGGCGGCGTGGGCGCGAGAAGGACAGTGAGTATCGCGGAGAAGCCTGGGCTCCGACGGGCAGGAAGGGCGCGACCCGTGCTTGGAGACGCGAGGCGATGGCGCGGGGCGGCGCGCTCTGAGGGGCTCCTTCAGCTGCAGCATGAGCGGGAGCAGCGAGGGCGAGGAGGGCGCGGAGGCGGGCGAGGTGCTGGAGGAGCCCGAGAGGCCGACGGAGTGGACGTCGGGCTGGGACGACGAGTGCAACGACGTCGAGGACGACCCCGACCCTCATGGTGCGTGGAAGGACCGGGGGCCTCCTCGGGGGAAGGGGCAGAGGACCCTCGAGCGTCCGCCTCAGGCTGCGGCTGCCGGCATGGACCGCACCCGTCGGCGCTCCGGCCACGGCCAACACACCATCAAAGGCTTGTCCTGGGAAAATCGAGAGCAAAGTCACTTCCCTGGCGCTTAAAATTACCCATTAAGGAACCAGTATAAGCCTTGTCTTGTCAGATTACATTTGGTAGTGTATTGGCCGTGGCAGTTGCTTGACACTGTGCCACATTTGCATTGGACATCAATTTGTGTACCAGCATTTGGCTTCGTTGTCTCTTCAGTGTTATCAACACCTGCAATTTCAGAATTTATCAATGAATTGCTTCTAATGTCTTGTGTACATTTATAATCGTACTAGGTTATAAAATCCCACAATATCAATAACATTGGACCCAATGGTAGTTGTTCAGAGTATGGAGACCCAGAAAAATTATATAAAAAAAAATATACATACATATATATATATATACATATAAAAATATATACATAAATATATATACATATAAAAATATATACATAAATATATATACATATATAAATATATACATAAATATATATGCATATAAAAATATATACATAAATATATATACATATAATTATACATAAATATATATATATGTATAAAAATATATACAAAATATATATATACATATAAAAATATATACATAAATATATATATATATATATATATATATAGATAAATACATATATATATATATTATATATATATATATATATCTATATATATACTATATATTATATATATCTATATATAATAGATATATATATATATATATATCATATATATATATATAATAGATATATATATATATATATATATCTCGATATCTATATAATATATATATATACACACACACTTATAATGTATGTATGTATATATATATATATCTATATGTGTTTATATATATATATATATATATATATATATATATATATATATATATATATATATATATATATATATATATATATTTTTTTTTTTTTTTTTTTTTTTTTTTTTTTTTTTTTTTTTTTTTTTTTTTTCATTATCATTATCATATGAAGTAAGGCAGAGGCCCAATTCCAATGTATGAACATCCACTAGTGATAATGGCATAGTTTGAACTGCACCCACCTCCCCTTTGGCTCTCTGGCAATGGCCATTAAGCCTCCACTATATGTTTTTTTGAAGTCGCTCCTACAACTGGTTTCTCCTAAATATATATGATATATGCATGATGTGTGCTTACCAGTACCCTACACATTCAATATTGAAATTAAGATGGGTGTGTGGGCTTTGCCAGCTCTCTGGAGGCTGGGGATTGCTGGACTGTGCCACTCTATTTACCATCAGTATCAAAGGCAGAGGCTTTCATAGACTGAAAACAAGACAGTGTACATCACAAGCAAGCCATCAACATCCAAAAATCTTTAGTATTGGTGATGGGGATCTTTTTTGAATGCCTATCTTAGGACTCTCTCTTAAGGAATAGGGAACTCTTAAATACTTTTGCTTCAGCCTTGTCTTTAGATCATTAAATAATGTTGTTTTGGCCTCTCTTGGGGAATGACAGGGAACCTTACATTATCCGAGGTACCTTTGGTTGGGGAGTTCATTCCCGGTCACGTTGCATTGATTTTGCTGTTGTATGTGTGAATTATTTATTGTATTTTTTAGTTTAATTGTTTTGTTGAGTTGAATTACTAATCAGTTTATAGTTGAGATTTAGTGCAAAAGTAGTTTTCCTTATTCTTATTTTTGCCTTTAACAGATTTAGATGATATAGATAGATACTATAATTGGGTTTCCTGAATGTAAATAAATGGTAAATCTAGATAGGTATATTGTCTGATTTAAAATTTTGATTTTTAGAAAAAGTCCTAGACCTGTAATATCAAATTAAAATTATTATTAATTTTCTTGTTAAGTTATGTGTGTTAACTGATATTGTGCAGAAAAAAGACAAGAGATTTTTAGAAAGAGCAGTATACACACCTATATCATTATCTTCATTTCTGTTAGGTATAGACCACATTGTGACTTTATTGTTGTTATTGTGATAAGGATTCATTGAAAGAGAAATGATGTGAAATATCTTTGAAAAAAACTAGACCAATTTCATATGATTGGGGTTAAAGAATTTGAAGAATATTTAAAAATTTGATTGTTTTTACTAATTTTATACACTCTACCTTTAATTCAACATTTTCCTTTTCTTTTCTTTTTTTGTCTCGGACATAATGATTAGATCCTCTTATTATGATTTTTTCTTTTAGTTGGATGCTTCCTATTATATTTACTATTTTTCGTAAATAAAAAATGAATGGGTTTGCTATAGTTTTAAGTTAACTTGTAGATGTATTTGAGAAGGCAGTAAGACATATGACCACTCTCAGTGATTTAAAATGAGTTTTCCAGTCTTCTGTAATGCTTACTTATCATGAATGTAACTATATTTAAAGAATAAGGAAGTGTTAAGTAAAAAGGGTGTCTATTTTAGGCTTATTATATATCACATATTTTTCATTTGCCATTTTTCATCACAGTGCTGTAGATTGAAAATTATTCTAAAGGAAATAGATATTAGGTAGAATGTTGTGATATCATCAAGACATGTAAAAGTTAGACATGGTCTGTTATTACTGGGTGAAAAAGATCACAGTTTTGCAGCTGTTGTCAATTTTTGAATTAAGAGTATAGTTTATTGATAATTTTTGATGGAATGGAAATTAAAATTTAATTAATTTTCTTTTATGAAAACATATGATTCTGCCATTTGACATAGTCTTCACCAGAATTGTTCTTCAGTGTATTTCAAGTGCTTTATGGATAATAATATATGCTGACCTGAACTATAACATGTACTTTATAAAAGGAATAAGCAATTTCTCTCTCTCTTTCTTTCTTTCTTTCTCACTTAATAGTGTGTAGTACAGCACATTCTTTTCCTCTACATGGTTGTAGTCACATCCTAATCTTTGTGAGGTCTTATTATCAATTAGCACAAACCGTATATTAATGAGGGAAAGTTTTAATTTTGAAATCTGTCATGGAATCCACTGCTTTCTCCTATTTCAGCTACGCCAGAACGTGAGATCCTTTGGGCTTGTGAGAATGGTAAACAGAGCATAATTGAAAACATCTTAGAGCATCACCCAGAGGCCATAAATGCAACTGACTCTGATGGATACACACCGTTGCACCGAGCAGCCTATAGTGATCACGTTGAAATTGTTAAGGTAAATCTCCGTTGTCTTTGATTACCGGGAAATTCCAGTGGGTCGATAAGAGAGTTTTTAAAGTTACTTTACTCCCTTATTTTAGCAAATGATGGTGAATTTTTGCACAGAGGAGAGGTGCCAACTTGTTTTTAAGTTTTGAAATGACAGAATGTTAGAACAAATTATTTGAACATAAGATATTAAATCTTTACTTTACTTTCGGAGAACATGCCCTGTCTGCTGAGGTTTTATTTTATTTACTTTTTTTTTTACATGTAGATGGCTACAGAAGTGCTGAGTCAGGGATAAAACAACCACAACCACACACACACACAACCACAACCACACACACAACCACAACCACACACACACACACACACAACCACACACACACACACACACACACACACACACACACACACACACACACACACACACACACACACACACACACACACACACACACACACACACACACACACACACAACCACACACACACAACCACACACACACAACCACACACACACACACACACACAACCACACACACACACACACAACCACACACACACACACACACAACCACACACACACACACACACACACACACACACACACACACACACACACACACACAACCACACACACACACACAACCACACACACACACACAACCACACACACACACACAACCACACACACACACACACACAACCACACACACACACACACACACACAACCACACACACACACACAACCACACACACACACACACACACACACACACACACACACACACACACACACACACACACACACACACACAACCACACACACACACAACCACACACACACACACACACACAACCACACACACACACACACACACACACACACACACACACACACACACACACACACACACACACACACACACACACCACACACACACACACACACACACACACACACACACACACACACACACACACACACACACACACACAACCACACACACACACACACAACCACACACACACACACACAACCACACACACACACACACACAACCACACACACACACACACAACCACACACACACACACAACCACACACACACACACAACCACACACACACACACACAACCACACACACACACACACACACACAACCACACACACACACACACACACACAACCACACACACACACACACACAACCACACACACACACACACAACCACACACACAACCACACACACACACACACAACCACACACACACACACACAACCACACACACACACACACAACCACACACACACACACAACCACACACACACACACAACCACACACACACACACACAACCACACACACACACACAACCACACACACACACACACAACCACACACACACACACAACCACACACACACACACAACCACACACACACACACAACCACACACACACACACACAACCACACACACACACACACAACCACACACACACACACACAACCACACACACACACACACAACCACACACACACACAACCACACACACACACACAACCACACACACACACACAACCACACACACACAACCACACACACACACACACACACACACACACACACACACACACACACACACACACACACACACACACACACACACACACACAACCACACACAACCACACACACAACCACACACACACACACACACACAACCACAATCACAATCACACACACAACCACAATCACACACACACACACACAATCACACACACACACACAATCACACACAATCACACACACACAATCACACACACACAGACACAATCACACACACACAATCACACACACACACACACACACACACACACACACACACACACACACACACACACACACACACACACACACACACACACACACACATACACAACCACAACCACACACACACAACTACAACCACGACCACACACACACAACCACACACACACACACAACCACACACACACACACACACACACACACACACACACACACACACACACACACACACACACACACACACACAACCACACACACACACACACACAACCACACACACACACACACACAACCACACACACACACACACACAACCACACACACACACACACACACAACCACACACACACACACACACAACCACACACACACACACACACAACCACACACACACACACACACACACCACACACACACACACACACACAACCACAAACACACACACACACACACACACACACACACACACACACACACACACACACACACACACACACACACACACACACACACACACACACACACATGTATGCATGTATACATGCAAACATGTGTACTTATTTTTAATGTATATGTATGAATGAATGCTTTATTAATATGCTAGTATGAGGTGAATGTAGAAACAAGAGTTATAGCATTGGTAATCTAAATCATTATCAAATCTAAATATGGTATCAATTTTTTTTTTTTTTTTTTTTTTTTCAGTTGCTTCTTAAGTCTGGTGCCTCTGTAACAGCCAAGACCGTAGATGGTTGGACGGCGCTTCACTCGGCTTGCCGATGGAATCACTACAGATGTGCTGTTGTTCTGATTGAGGGTGGAAGTGATGTCAATGCAGTGTCCAACAGTGGTCAGACGCCTCTCCATATCGCAGCAACCAACCCGAAGGCTCATGAGACTTTGCAGCTCTTGCTCATGAACAAGCTCATGAAACCGCACATAAAAAATAGTGTTGGGGAGACGGCCGAGGATCTGGCCATCAGGAATGGACCCTATGGCTATCTGTTCGAAGTTATCAATCCAGTGTTAAATGAATACGAGCAACAGGAGTAGAAATAGACAATTGGATGCCAGAGGCTTTGGTCATATTTCTTTAATTGTGTGACTGCTATTTACTGAGTTTGTTATGAATTTAGCACTTGTTTATAATTTTAGGGTGAATGATATTTTTTGAAGAACCCCAAAGAACACTGTTTGACTGGGAACAGATTTGATACTGACAGGTTTAGTGTACCTAAAGAAAGACTTTGAATCAAAAATGGCTGGCAGTGTAGTGAGACACGGCTTGCGCATGCGAGAGACTTTCAGCGTAGTCAACCACAATGTGGCACAATGGTTCCCGGGACACATGGCCAAAGGGCTCAACCAGATGCAGAGGAAACTGAAGAGCGTCGACTGCATTGTGGAAGTTCATGACGCGAGGATTCCCATCTCGGGGAGAAACCCTCTGTTTGAGCACACCCTCTCGGCCATAAAGCCCCATGTGTTAGTCCTCAACAAAATGGACCTGGCTGACTTAAGACACAGGAACAGCATAGTCAGACATCATACCAGGGAGGGCATCAAACACGTCATTTTCACCAACTGCAAGCGGCCTGAGAGTCGTGGGATCAAGAGCATTATCCCTACCGTTGCGGAGATGATAAAGAACTCGGAACGTTATAACCGGGCAGAGGAGACGGTGTATCAGCTTATGGTCATTGGGGTGCCAAACGTTGGCAAGTCCTCACTCATCAATGCTCTGAGGGCTAAGCATCTGCGCAAAAGCAAAGCCACCCAAGTTGGAGGGCTTCCGGGCATCACCCAGAGTGTGCTGGAGAAGATAAAAGTAAGATCTTAAAGTTTTTGTGTCTTTTGATATATTAATGGATACATTTAGAATTTTCTCTCTCTCTCTCTTTCTCTTTCTCTTTCTCTTTCTCTTTCTCTTTCTCTTTCTTTCTTTCTTTTTCTCTTTCTTTCTTTCTTTTTCTCTTTCTCTCTCTCTCTCTCTCTCTCTCTCTCTCTCTCTCTCTCTCTCTCTCTCTCTCTCTCTCTCTCTCTCTCTCTCTCTCTCTCTCTCTCACTATTCCTCCTCTGTATGTCTCTCTCTCTCTCTCTTTCTTCCTCTGTCTGTCTGTCTGTCTGTCCCTCCCTCCCTCTCTCTCTCTCTCTCTCTCTCTCTCTCTCTCTCTCTCTCTCTCTCTCTCTCTCTCTCTCCTCTCTCTCTCTCTCTCTCTCTCTCTCTCTCTCTCTCTCTCCCTCCCTCCCTCCCTCCCTCCCTCCCTCTCTCTCTCTCTCTCTCTCTCTCTCTCTCTCTCTCTCTCTCTCTCTCTCTCTCTCTTTTTTCTTTTCTTGCCTAGAATATTTTGCATATAGCTTTCTTCTACATTGCTACAAACAAAAAGCACATTGTAGGTCTAAGCTAAGTGCAATAGTCTATGAGAAAAGTCCAGTAATATGTAAGTTATCTTGCCTTGTTAACTTCCTCTTATCATTTTTATTTCATCTGCCTTTCTCACTCATCATCTCCCTTATTAATTTGGTTAACAGGTTTGCGAAGATCCAAAAGTGTACCTCCTGGACACCCCAGGAGTCTTGGCCCCCAAAATCCAGGATGTGGAGACAGGGCTCAAGCTAGCTCTCGCAGCTACCATTAAGGATCACCTTGTTGGCGAGGAGAACATCGCGGACTATCTCCTCTACAGGTTAGGGCCTGAACATGTGTTTTGCCTTTTTCTGTGAAGTGGGTATTGAGGAGAAAAAGGTGATGGATTATATGTGTTTTTGGTTTATATAACTTTTGCCATTAGATTTTAGATACTGTGTGTGCATAGTGTTAAGGATTTTCAGTCCATGCTTGCAGGAATTGCAATTATATTGCATGCATTTGTCATTCATTTGTATCCTTTTGTTGAAAATAGGAAAGAATAATTATAAATTGGGAACACCAGAAAAGGCCAAGATTTCAATTTTATGTTATGATGCATTTTTTTTCTTATTTTTTTTCTTTCATGGTTTGATAATAGACTATTAAATTGAGAATAGATACATAGACATGAAAAGTAGTATTTGAATTCATGCTTCTGTAGCTTACCAAAGATAAACTTCCTTTTCTTGAAAAGTAAAATATGCTAATAGGTTCTTCCTTCGTAGGTTGAATAGAAATGGGAATCACTCTTACGTCAAATATCTAAAACTCCAGGAACCCACAGACAACATTCAGCAGCTTTTAGCATTTGCAGCTGTAAAGTAAGTACAACTGCCTGTATATGACTGAGAGTGTGAGTGAGTGAGAGACAGAGACACTGTGCAGGAGTGAGTGTGTATTTGTCTCTCTATCTCTTTCCTATCCTTTTCTTAGGAATTATATTATTGTTTTATTTTTGATGATAATGATGTATTTGAATATATTTGCATACCATATTAAACTTTCCCTTCATCATTTATTTATATCTTTATTTTAGGTTTAAAGCTGGTATGTGATTTATATATGTGTGTGCATGCATGTGCGTGTGTGTGTGCGTGTGCGTGTGGGCATGGGCGTGTATATGTATACACACACACACAATTATATATATATATATGTATATGTATATGTATACGTATATGTATATATACACACATATATGTATATATACATATATACATATATATATATATATATATATATATATATATATATATATATATATATATATATATATACATTCATACATATATATACATTTACATATATATACACTCATGCATGTGTCCATACAGACATACATACATGCATATATACATATGTATACATGCATGCATACGTTCATTCCATATATTACATACATTGCATACATTACATACATACATACATGCATACATACAAAGATATATACAAACAAGTAACTGAATACCTTTTCAATTACAGTAATGGCTGGAAAAGGAAGGTGAGAAGCCAGAGTGGCATCCAAGTGATTCCAGACCTGCAGCTCAGCGCGTCAAAGTTCATAAAGGGTTTCCGCACGGGAGTTTTCGGCCCTATGATCCTGGACGACGTGGAGAGCACCAAGAGCTGATTCATGCGGCAGAGAGGAAGGACACCGATGTAGATAAAGGCGTAGTTTGCCAGTCCCCAGTGAGAAGGTTTCGGGGAAGTCCACGTTATATCACAAATCATCGAGAATATATAAGGAGCTTCTAGGAAGCCTTGTTGTTTTTTTGTTTTTTGTTTTTTTCCTTTTTTTTATTATTACATGGTTTTATAAAAGTAATAAATGTTATATATGATTCATTAACCTTTGTGTCTGTTGAGAGCTTGAGAGATAAGCGTAAGAAGGGGTGGAGTTATCCTTGTATCATTGGATCTTGGTTGTGATATGTAATTTTAAACCCCGTTGTTGCACTGTCTTCTGCATACGCATGAGCCCTGTACTCCAGTCTCTAGTAACTGGGTTCTGCAATTGTCTTGGGTAAATTGCCAGTGTTCATAAGCACCAGTTTTTCCAGTTTTTCCATGTTGTCTTGTGTACCTTGCTTTTTCGTTTCTTGCTTGCTTTCTTCCTTTGTTTTTTGTCTTTTTCCTTGTTGGGAGTGTGGAAGAGTATATTGTAATGGTCTGCAAATCATAAAAGATGTGTTATAAGGCCCTGCATTAAACAGTACCAAAATGTATATATATATATAATATATATATAATATATATATAATATATATATAATATATATATAATATATATATAATATATATATAATATATATATAATATGTATATAATATGTATATAATATGTATATAATATGTATATAATATATATATAATATATATATATATATATATATATATATATATATATATATATATATATATATATATACATACATTCATACATATATATATATATATAATATATATATAATATATATACATGCATGCATACGTTCATTCCATATATTACATACATTGCATACATTACATACATACATACATGCATACATACAAAGATATATACAAACAAGTAACTGAATACCTTTTCAATTACAGTAATGGCTGGAAAAGGAAAGTGAGAAGCCAGAGTGGCATCCAAGTGATTCCAGACCTGCAGCTCAGCGCGTCAAAGTTCATAAAGGGTTTCCGCACGGGAGTTTTCGGCCCTATGATCCTGGACGACGTGGAGAGCACCAAGAGCTGATTCACGCGGCAGAGAGGAAGGACACCGATGTAGATAAAGGCGTAGTTTGCCAGTCCCCAGTGAGAAGGTTTCGGGGAGGTCCACGTTATATCACAAATCATCGAGAATATATAAGGAGCTTCTGGGAAGCCTTGTTGTTTTTTTTGTTTTTTGTCATTTTGAAAGTAAGTATTATAATCAATGAGCAGTCAAGCTTGACTTGATCTCCAGAAATATACATTACAAAGCTGTTACATCATAGTTACAGATGATAATAGTGGGAGATGTATATGGAAGATTTTTGGACTGAATCATAATGCTGTACTGATTTCATTAAAGGGACCACATTAAAACAAGGTACACATGATAAACTAATCCACGTGTTTTGTTATGTGATATGTATTTCATAGTGTAAATTGGGATATTGTAATTGGAATGAGATGTCTTGAAGCATTTTTGCAGGTGGTTAAAATTTCGTTGGAATGCTATGAAATAATAAAGAAAAGTATAATAATAATAATAACAATAAAAAATACTTTGCTTGGATAATGTGGATATTTGAAGTTTTCCACTGACAAGAACGTAGATCCTTTAAATGCAAATGATTTGTTGTAACCAACATTACTTATTTGTCTGTCTGTTATTCCATTTTCTAACTTATAAAAATACTCTATATATTATTTAAGTACGTGCCATATTAGTTTTGATACTGGATTTCATTTTCTGCTGATTGTCTGAACTCATTTTACAAAACTCCTAATACAGTTTCAGAAATGTACCTTTGTATGTTTAAATGCATTCTTCAGACTTTACCTCAGTATTGTAATACAGGGTATTCTGTGGTGTTTAGCTGGATTTTCTTTGTAATCTAGTTAAAATCATACTATTTGTTAGAAGCTTTATCTGTTGTCTGCTTGTTGGTTAGCAGAA